GTAACCACGAAAATCAGACGCTTAAATAAGCAAAAGAAGCGTTGGTTGCTTCATTTTAAATGGAGCCCACCTATTATTAAACTAGTTTTCCTAAACACCCCCCTCCTAAGCTACCTGGTTAAAGATGCCCTAAGCTTTGTTAAGGACGAATTTGACTATTAGATCTTCTAATATCTTATAAAAACAAAGATTTCACATAAATAATGAGTAAAAATATTGTAGAACCAAATTCTAAACATAATAAAAAAAATGATCAACACAATTAAATTAACAAATATAAGAAACCAGGCGAAGTTTGTTAATTTGACTATATGTAACCCAAGGTTACAAGTGAATCCCACCATTTATTTATTTATTTTAGTTTCTGAAGCTGAAATCTCAATATTTTGGTGTTTAATGACATATTCAAGAAAATATTTATACTTATAAATAGTAACAACTAATATTATATTTTCATGAAATATATCCAATTTAATGTATTATTTTATTTAATCAATGATTCATATCTTTTCAATTAGTAATTTTAAGAGAACATGTATGACAAAAAAGTACAACTAAATGCAAAAGCAAAACATACAAAAAGAAGCCCATATTTTCCGCACTGAACATAATAATCAACTTTCATTTTATAAAATTAACTTTATATAGTAAAAAATATCAAGAACAAATTAATTATACATGAATATTTTAGTGGCATACTAGCTAAATTATTTCTAATAAGAATAATATAATAAATTTTAACAGAAAATAGTGAAAATTAAGTTAAAATTAAAGTAATTTAAGCTGAGAACAGACTAAATATTGTTTTTACAATTTCACACAAAATTAAAATACATTTATATTATTTTTTCTATTCGTCCGCCCGCCCGTAGGGCGGGTTTCCCCTAGTTAACTATATAACCAAAAATTAGATTTTTTCATATATGTTATATTTTGAATTTTTAAAAACGACTACAAATTTATAAAATTTTTAAAATTTCACATATATTATTTTTTATTAGTAGTTTAAATCTCCTATATATTAATTTTGGAGCATTACAACATTTTTTTGTAGCCACGTGTCAGAATAAGAATGATTTTCATAACTCTTAGAGAAATATGTTTGTCCACCTAAACATATGTTATATTTTTATTATACTAACTATCATATTTAATTAGTAGTGTAAAAAATAATATTTCCTATTATTTCCTTAGATAAAAGCTACAGAATTACCTAATATGATTAACATATATATCACAATTAATGTTTATGAATAATAAAGATTTGATAACATTTTTTTTATCCTCTTTACTTTTTATTTAATTTTATATTATTAAAATAAATTAAACAATCATATTAATCATATAATAAAAAATATTTTTTCTTATATGTTATATTTTGAATTTTTTAAATGATCATAAATTACTAAAAATAGTAAAAATCTGATATTGAAAATTTTGTGATCAATGATAACGTTTTTTAGTTCAGCCAATCGTTTTTCTAATGGGTCTTAAACAATTTATAATGATTAACTAAATGAATCGTGCATAATAGAGTATGTTTTGTTTAAAAATTATTGCATATCCAAAATCAATATGAACCATTATCCCTTTCGTTTAAATTTTTGTTACAATAAAAAATATATGGTTAGGCAAAAAAAAATCGAATCCCGAAAATTGAATTAAATCTAATCCAAAAAGTAGTGTAAATTTTTGACCAAAATTGGTTAGATATCCAAACATATTCAAAAATTTTGGTATCTAGAGAGAACCAAAACTGAATCGAAATATCTCTGGTATCCGAGTGTACTCGAACCAGATTTATATACTTAAATATATTAATTATTTTTAAATTTAACATCTAAGAATATACAAAATACATGAGATTTATTAAAATTTTCCAAAATACTTAGATATATATAAAATAGTTAAATGTACATTTTTAAAATAGCTAAACAATACTCCAAATAACCAAAATATTTTAAACATTAATTGATTTTTGTCCAAATATTTAAGATAAACCAATTTTATGTTAAGAAGTATTTTGGCATTCATTTTTCAAATTTATATGTTATATATTATTTTTACTTTTAAATTTTGAAAAATTTAAAGTATATATGAATTTTAGTCTTTAAAAAAAATTAAATGGGTTATCCGAACCTAAACCCAATCTGAACTTACGAAGATTCGAACCAAACTGCAAAGATCTAAACCAAACAGAATCTAACCGAATCAAATCGTACCCAAATACCCATCCATAATAAAATGTAAAAAAGTTATTGATAACAAAATATATATTTAAATATAATATATTTTTAAAAACCTCACCCTACGCGAGTTATCATCTAGATTATGGTTATTTAGAAATACGAAAAGTTTCAATATCTACATGCATTAATAACTCAAGATTGACACTGATTAGTTTAACGAATCCATAGTTATTATAGATATCCATCATGTTAAATTTATAATCCCTTATATATTAAAAGAGAAACATTTAAAAAATTGTAACCTCAATTTTGTAATAATCAAAAAAGACTCCATGCTTATTTGTCACTCAATTAGGTAGTCAATTACATTCAATTGAAAAATAAGTAGGTCCACATTCGATTTTTATATGTCGCTAGATACATTCGTTGGTCAAATTATATGATATGATGATATGATATGATATTTATGATAGAAGCATTTATGATTATTCCCATAGATATAATTACTATTTTATTTTCTTTCCATAAATAAAACCTACGGAATTACCATAAATGACTAATATATATATATATGACACTTAATGATTCTAATAATAAATATTTGATAACAGTTTATATATCCTCCATCATTTTTCTTTAATTTTATATTATTAAAATAAATTAAACAATCAAATTAGCTATAAAATTAAACTTTAGATTTTTTCGTATAGGTTATATTNAAATAAAACCTACGGAATTACCATAAATGACTAATATATATATATATGACACTTAATGATTCTAATAATAAATATTTGATAACAGTTTATATATCCTCCATCATTTTTCTTTAATTTTATATTATTAAAATAAATTAAACAATCAAATTAGCTATAAAATTAAACTTTAGATTTTTTCGTATAGGTTATATTTTGAATTAAAAAAAACGAGAATAAATAACTAAACTATTAAAATTATTATGTTAAAAATTAATGATCAATAGTTTAACATTTTTATTATAAAAAGGGATACATGATTTTAAAACCATATAAGTAAAAAGTATCATTCAATAATAAAACAAATATATATACAGATTAAACTACAGTAGAACCTCTATAAATTAATACTTGATAAATTAATAATCTCTATAAATTAATTAATTTTCCCGGTCCCAATTTGGGCCAGTATAAAATATGACACAAATCGATAAAATAATAAGATAATAATATTTTTTAAACTGTCATGTAAATATATGGTCCCACTAAAATCATGAATTAATAATCTAGCTATATATAATTTTATATAATTACAATCTAACATTATATTGTTAGTTTTATATTTACTATAAAAATACTTTTATTTTCTTAAACATTTCAATATATTTTGATAATACTTTTATTTTTTTATTTCAATTTATTTTGATAATATTTAGTTAAATTATATCAAAAACCATGTAACAGTTTTATGAAACAGAAAAATATACAAATTTCTAAAATTTAAATAATGTACATATGCTAAAATCATATATTTTTTATTTTATAAATAAAAATGGAAAAAAAATAAAAAATCTAAATTAAGAAACTTTTATAAATTAATATCTCTATAAATTAATAAAATTTCAAAGTCCTAACATTATTAATTTATAGATATTTTACTGTATATACCATATAAGATTACATAAATATTTTAATTTCAAAATTTTCAATAAATTTTCAAGAACATTTATAAATAATTAAATTATTAAATTTTTCACTTTGAAAATTTTTCTTATCAATGATTTAAATGTCTTAGTTCTTTTTAAATTTTTTTATTTTTAAAAGATATTAACAATCGATAATATGGTTATTTTTGGTATATACCATACAAACCGAATGAATGTGATTTTATAAAAACCATAGGATTTGGATATGGTTTGATTTATAACCGATTAAACTGAAACATGTAAATATGTATATATTTATAACGACGCATGAATATCTATTTGTTACATGAGTTGAACTATAATTATAATTTGTAAATAGCTAACAATTTATTACAACTGAGACTTCTTATTTTGATCATTTGTTTTTTTAACAGTAACTAAATTGAAGTAAAGATTATAAATTTGTTGGACAACAATTAGTTGAAATTCTTTACAACTTTTTTAATCTTTATACAAACAGAGTTGTGTTCAATCGAAGATATATTCGTTTGATGAACACTAAAAATGGAAGAATATAAAAACGTTTCTTTCATGCTTATGTTTTGTTTTTTTATTTTTATTTTCAAAATTTAGTGTTTTGATATTAATTCTAGATTTGATCATTTTATTAGATGATAGAAGTCTTTTTTGTTTTTTTATTATTTTATTCAAATATATAATTTTTTTTTAATAAATGACTATGTGACAATATGACTCTAAATATGATCATATTATATATTTGTATAATATATAATATAATCTCAAATTAAATAATTATGTTTTTTGGTATAAAATTGAATAAACTGAAAACCAATGGTATATAAACCAAATCAAACTGAAGTACATATAAATTTAGAGTAATAGTTATATTTTAATAATCGAAATACCAAAAAATCGAGCCGAACCGAAATCCGATATCCGGATTGAACACCTGTAATCCGAATGAAACCGAACTATTATTTCATTTTTCAAAACATAATAAAAATAATAGCTTCATCCCGCGCAAGACGCGGATCTTATCCTAGTTGACTAGTTATGATAGTCGATTTAGAAAAGCTTGGTATTTGATTGTGTCCCTGAGAAAAGTCTTGGAAAAAGACCGATTAGGAAGGTGGAATTGCTGTGTTAAAAAAAAAAAAAAAAGAAGGGAGGTGGAATTGCTTTCTCTTCATCATCAAAGCAAGTAGCTTAGAAAAGTGCATACGCAGTTGAGGAGATTTCTAATGGATTATAATATTTCTTTTGGACCAAGACGACGCAAAAATCTCTTTAAAAACATCACCCTCACTACATCAAGAACAAATGATCTCTCTCTCTCTCTCTCTCTAGTTTCTTCTTCAAGTAAACTAGATATAAAAGTTGGGTGAATGGATGGATCTTTACGATTTTGGGGATCTCGATGTGGAATTTTTGTTTAGCTGCAAATATGCGGAGAGATTTGTCAAGTTCATGTATAACAACAGTACTAACACGTTGAGAAGTGAGAAGCATCTATAGTTTACCTGCAATGCCCGTGCAACGGAAGGTAGCCATTTTTCTCCTCTTACTTTCTTGAGTTCAGCGACTCTCTCTTCTTCTTTCTTGGCTTTAGCTTTGGCAGCCGCTTCTTTCCCCTCAAGCCTAGCTGAGGCTTTCTTGGCTGCTTCCATCGCAGCAGACAATACATCCGACCCGTCAACAGCTATGGATTTTATTCGTTTCTTAAACTGCAGTTAAAAAAACAATGACATAAGCTTTCACAGATTCATGTTCCGCTATAAAAACAGGACAATGCTTGAAGCACGACCTCTTTAGAGCTTCCTTCAGCTCCTCTATCAGGGCGTAATTTAGGCCTCTTCTTAGGTCCTTGAAGCTCATCTGTTTAACAGGACAATAAGTGTCTTGACTGATAAGCAATAATAATCAAGATTCAGATATATATATAATCTTGGAGAGGGCAGGGTGATGACTAACCAACATGATCAAAGATGATGCCAGTTGAACACCTCTTAAATAGCCGAACTCCACAGTCATTCTCAGGTTCATGTTCATCTTCTGGAACAGTGACAGGATCTTTAACAAAGTCTAAAGTATTCTCCACCATTTCATTCAATAGCTTCTTCACCTGTTTTCAAGCTAATCTTAATCAGCAAAAGTGAAGCGTTAACCTAACAAAGACACTGATAGACAAAGTAGCAAACACCACAAGTTCTTGCAGTTATGATTAAACAAGTTAATTGCAGTTATGATCCAATAGACATGAAGCTGTTGTCACATTCTCTACTTTGAGAAGATTATTAACATTAACCATTGAAACACTTCAACTAATGGATATAACAGTGTGTAATTGCCATCAACACACATACCCTCTTGAATGTATTTAGAATGGCTAACCTTGATTTGGGCATGTGTTAGCTTTTTAGGTTTGATTCGAAAGTCCCCATCTTCAGATTGCTGAGTAGCTGCGAGCTTCGTGGCGTAAGCTGTGGTGGTGACTATTGAATTGATGGCGGCTTTCCACTTGGGATCTTCCTCTTCGCTGCTGCTATCTCCTCCCCTTTTCTCCCCATCAGCCATTCTTACACACTCTCCGCCGTCAAAATTTCTATTCTTATTCTCTATATCTCCGAGTTACGGCCAACTTGACTCTCCGGCGAAAAAGGGTTTATAGCGGGTGCCCTAAATCTACTGGCGCAATTAAGCAATAGATAAAAGCCCTTACAGGATTCGGGTCGGGTTTTATATGACCCCCACTCAACTGAATGTAATGTAGTAACCCAAAGAATTAATGAAAGAAACAAGGAAAGGCTAATGTTAATTCAGAATTCTCTAGTCATTTAAGAATTTTTATTTTTTTACTTTTCGTGAAGTTTCTTACTTAAAATAAAAAATAAATCTAAATTTCATAGTTTTTGATGTAATTTTAGCAGGATCTAACTAAAATCATATTAAATTCTCGTTCACATAAAATCATTTAAAAGCTTAATAAAATCAAATCACTTTTAAAATTTACAATGAATACACCCCCAATTATTATTTAGTTTCAATCTATCTATCTATCTTCTATAATAATAAGTTATATTTCTTTTCCTGCTATCACGTAACCATGGAGCATGGGGGGGGGGGGGGGTTTGGCGACACGTGGCGCCTCACAAAGTTTTCGTGCAAATTTTGGCCAACACTTCTGTTTATTCTCTAACATCATCTGCAGTTCTTTTATAATTATGGAGTTGGCCCATACATATCCTTTGTTCCACTATGCTTTCCTAAACTTTGCTCCACTATGCTTACCTAAACTGATATAGGCTTTTCTTACAATACATAAAGTTGGCCTATACATTGAGTCATGTCAAAGACCCGTTAGGATTTAGCCACCCTTCTTCCTCTTCCACTGCGACAAAGATGATGCGATTTCACCAAAGCTGTGAGCGCCAGCTCTTTGTAACGTATCACCATCCATAAATCTCCGATTATTACTACGAGCTTTCAGTGATTACTCCACTCCGCCCACTTGAAGTATTCAAACTACCGCTTTGTCTTCCAGCGAAACCGGCTGAAGCCTCTGCTAAAAATGTCGGACCTTTCTGCCATGTTTATTTCAACTCAAACAATATCATCAATCTACTTTCTCTCAGCAATCGATTCCAATGCGGTCTTCTTACACTCTCTTTGGCAATCTGATAGCCGGCCGATGCTCTAACACTGCAGAGGTCTGTCTGCTTAGGTTATGGGAAGCCAGAAAGATCAACAAAGGCGGGGAAACGATCAGTATTGACATGTTGGTCATCGATGAGAATGTAAGCACCGATGCTATTTATTTTTGACCTGCAAGTGCTATTTTAACACTCTTTGTCTTTTGTGATTCCTGTCTGTTAACTAAAATGTTCTCTAATATGTTTGACCAGCGGAGTTCCTCTGTGCCGATGAAGTTGATAATACTGATATCACTAATGAGTGGTGTTACGCCTCCTTCTCAAAATTTTATAGAAAGCTTCAGAGCTGATTCTCATACTTACATGTTCAGCCTGCTATAATGACGACGCGCTGTTGGTGTTCTCAGGTGATCATGCATAGACTGGCGTTATTTAGGTCTCTTACATATTAGTTGCGTTTGTAAAGTAACAACCACTGAACGATTTCTGACGGTATGACTTGTGCAGGTTTCTCTGTGTCAGATGGAGAATCTGCTGGGTTCGTAGCATTTGATGGTGAGATTACCACGCTCAAAAATGCGGAGCTTCAGAGGTTTCCTAAATTATGGTAACAAATACATTTATTACTTAAGTTCATGGTTAACATTTACTTGATATTTATTTCCATAATTATGTTGTCTTCAACGTATTTCATTGCAAATAGTACATAAAAGTGAAAATAGTTATGTATTAATTCAATAATTTTCCCTTTTATGACTCAAACTCTAGAACCACATCTTTCTCCAAGTTTTTGATGCTCAACTTTGAGATTTTTCTACGCAAGTTAATGTTTGTAGAATAACCAAGCCTACATTTCTGTACAGGACCCAGGTGTGGATGAACCAGATCAGAGACTCCGGCCACAGCGCTTAAATGATTTGGTTGGCAGCACCCTCACTTTCCAGTCAAAGCTTTTTCCATTCAACTTTTTTTCAAAGCATCAGCCCTTCACAATATCAAGGATCTTCGACAGAAACCCACGTCCTCCACTCTCAAACTTTTCTGGAAACGTAATTTTAAGCAAATGGTAAACATATTTACAAGTTATTGTTCTAAGGTCTTCAGCCTTTTGTATTGTCTAGGACTTAAGTCTTTTACTTGTCTATGCCCTCCAGTAATGTTACCAACGTTGTCCTTGAAAACCACACTGGTATGTTTGCTTGTAGCGTTACAGAGGAAGCTACATGGGCGAGTAGTTGCAGCGTTGTAGAACCTGTATCGAGTGGAGTCACAGCTGTCGGTGCACGAAAATTCCGGAGGATGTTGACGTTGTAAAAAACCACGTAGTGGTTAGCTTCCCAGCTTTGGGAATGTCCAAGCTCGACTCCTGTTACTTTTCTTAGCTTAAATAATTCTTTTACGAAACTCCCTTCTATGATTTATTTTGGTCTTCTTTTTGTTGCTTTCTATTTTCTTGGCTAGGTCACCCAGAAAACTTTTGGGCGCAAACTTATTTTAAAAATGATTAATTAAAAACTATTTATAGAAGCTTATCGTCTATTAGTTATTTCACGTCCAAAGACAAGAAGCTCCAATGAAAATTTGTTTAAAACTTTTACTTAGCTGAGAAATTTGATATAACGTCTTACAAAACGATTAGGAACAACGCGGTATATTACTACGAAAACAAAACCTCTGATTCCTTGATGATCAAGCAAATAACAAAGACTAACGTCTAAACCTTAGTTGTTTTATATACATTCAAACAGTCACACAATGCATTTGGTAAGGAATTATAAATAAGTACGATGTTGATTACAATTTAATACATTAAGTCCGCTTAGCAGGTGCTTGCTCCTTATCGGATCCCTTAGAAGAACGTCTGCTTGATCAACATATTGGATGAGTTCCCGGTTATGAACTGATCATGGTTGAGTTGATCAACATATTGGATGAGTTCCCGGTTCTGACCGTCTCCTCCCTTTTATCTCACTGGTCATAAACGAATTCTAAATGCAATTGCCAAAAAATAAAAACATCAATATTAACCAAATACCAAAAATATATATTAAATTAAATATGTGAGTCAGTTATTCATGTAATTAATTATTGTTTTAGATATTCATTTAGGATTGGTTCCGATAAAATCCATAACCTGAAATAGTAGAAAAAGATGCACTAAATATTTATATAGTTTGGACCGGTTCAAATTCATTTTTATCGGATTCGATTTAAATTTTGGGGTTCGGTTTAATTGCCTTGCCCTACATTTTTCTTTTTCAAACATCAGCTTTATTTCATGTTTACAACTACATTAAATTTATTACGATTATCAGCTATTTGTTTTATTTTATTAAAATCAATCGGTGAAAACCACTTATGTTATTTCTATTTTGACGTACCTTCAAAATAAAGTAATACACCATACATTATCGCTAACCACTATCAAATGAATTGGAAAATTATCATTCTCTTTCAACATATTTTCATCATCATATATTTGAAGATATTTTATTTACTAAAACCATCAAATTAATTTAAAATTTATTAAAAATAAAATATATGAAACCGGCGCGTAGCGATAGAATACCACTAGTATTTCATAAAACAAACAAAACTGAAACCCAATTATTTGAAACCAAACTTATAATATTCTCAAACTGATTTGCTACTAACAAAGGCCTATAATGTGAAATTCACTTATATTTTGAAATAAAGAATACCTGGAAACATATTATATTTTTAATTGAAAAGTAACATCCCCTATATATTAATTGAGAAACATTTGAAAAGATGTAACCTCAAGTTTGTATTAATTAAAAAGTAACCTTGCTTAGTTGTCAATCAATTAGCATACCAATTAAACTGACGTGGTAGCTTTAGGTTCAATTGAAATTTGCTAGGGAAAAATAATTAGAGATGCATATAACGCATGTAACATAGTTTATATATTTATATATATCGCACGCATGTAATGGAAGAAAAGGAAATATACGATTTGATAACGATTTGCATATATTAACTATAATAACTTCATTCCTTTTAATTTATGGAAGTGTATATGTAAAATGGAAATTACTTTGTGACCAAGTACATACTTAATGGTAAAGGCAAGTGTATATGTAAAATGTAAAACTTAATATGTTAACTTGGGAATTTATGTTAAACTTTCGATTCTTTCGTATAAGTTATATTTTGAATTTTTAAAAACGAGAATAAATAACTAAAATATTAAAATTATTATGTTAAGAATTAATGATCAATAGTTTAACATTTTTATTATAAAAAGATATACATGATTTTAAAACCATATAAGTAAAAGTATCATTCAATAATAAAACAAATATATATACAGATTAAACTATATAGCATATAAGATTATATAAATATTTTAATTTCAAAATTTTCAATAAATTTTCAAGAACATTTATAAATTATAAACTTATTAAATTTTTCACATTGAAAATTTTGTTATCAATGATTTAAATATCTTAGTTCTTTTTAATTTTATATTTTTAAAAGATATTAACAATCGATAATATGGTTAGTTTTGGTATATACCTTACAAACCGAATGGATGTGATTTTATAAAAACCATAGGATTTGGATATGGTTGATTTATAACCAATTAAACTGAAACATGTAAATATGTATATATTTATAACGACACATGAATATCTATTTGTTACATGAGTTG